ACACACACACACACACACACACATACACTCACATGCACCTACACATACACACACACATACACAAACACACACACACACTCCCATACATCCACACACACACACACTCACTTACACACACATGCTCACACATGCACACTCACACTCACACACACACACGCATGCTCACACACACACTCACTTGTTCACACACATACACACACACACACACACTAACACACACACATACACACACTCATACACACACACACACTCATACACACACACACACACACACAAACGTAATGAAAGATAGAAATAAAATGAAAGAAAGAGAAAGATAAAAATCAAAATAAGACAAGTATAAGTATGTGAAATAAAAACTCATACAAATCCATTTGCACCGAATTGTACACTTCTTCAGCTAATATATATACACGTGTGCATGTACGTAAGCATACATACACACTTTCATATGTCAACTATTTTCTCATATATATGTGTATGCTCATGAGTAGGCGAGCACAAACATGCACCTCGCACATCATTATAAGTGCTTTACGAAAGATAGAGGAAATATGAGAGAAAGAAATTAGAGTCAAAACAAGACAGACGGATGGTGGTGAGACAGAGACACCTGTAGGGGAAGTATTGAGGGTGGTGTGGAGTGTTTAACAATAAAACATTTCAAAGAGAGACAGAAAACTAGAGAAGGAGAAAGAAGCAGTGAGGGAGAAATTAACATTGTCATTGTAAGGATAGTTGACACTCATATGTAAACAATAATGTCAAAGGAAAGAAATAAACATTTACAAAATAGAAAATAAAGACCGAAAATGCATGTTTTCTTTTTTTCTTTCTTACAAACTCTTGGATATAAACACTTTGTCCATCAAAGAAAAACAAAGACAAAAAGGTAAAACAGATATAGGGCGTCAAGTAGAAGATAGAGAAAGACCCCCAAAAAATGATTTAAAGCAGTTTATATATTATATTTTATAGAAAGTGTTTTACAAACATTGTAACTGCACTCGTGATTCACATTTTCTTAGAGGGCTCTCGTGGCCTAGAGGTTAAGGTGTTGGTCTCTCATTCAAAGGTCCTGGGTTCAAATCCGGGTAGCGACCGAAAAATTTTCTTCTCTAAAATTGTCTCCTTTCACCTTCTTTCCTGCTCTCTAGCAATATTCTGTTATCTGCTTTCATTTCCACTTTCTGCCCCCACCCCTTCACCTCCTTTGCCCCCTCCTCCGGGGTCCTGACTCTTTCTGCAGCCTTTCTACTGCTACTCCCTGGCTCCTCCTTACTGCTGTCTTTCTGCCTCACCCCTGATCTTCTGGTAGGAAAGATCTACACCTAGCGTTCTCGGACAAGGGCGAACAATCTCGGAGGGCCCGTGTGCAAGTTGCGCACGTTAAAGATCCCTTGATGGTCTAAAATCGATAAGAGTTGAGTAGGCTTCGGCCGCCACCCGGGCAAAATTCAAAATTTCCTACCAACTGAAAATATTAGGTGTGTCCCGCGCGCTCATATGAC